GTTTACATGTCTTTGGAATTGGATAAATGTTGGTATTTTCTCATGAATGGAAAACCTGAAGTATAAAGAGATAGTCTGAAGAATAAAGACAGAATCAGAAGAACTCCAAGTCGAGTAATTATAAGCAACCTAACCTAACCTCACCTAACCTAAACCTAACCAAGGGGAAATCTAAATATCCTAGTTACCCCCTGTAATTACTATCCCCTCGGTGTCGTCTCTCAGTCAGGCAATATGAGCGCCACCTGACACGCCAAAAGATGTCCAAAAACACAACACTTACAGCAGGCGATCCCACACACCCGACATAGCTAAGGCTTCTGTCGTGATGGCGGCGGACGCACAGGTGTCAAGCCAATCAAGACACAAACACCTGCCCAATGGATTAGAACTTAACCAAGCCTAAAGTTTTCTCTGGCTAATTAGCACTTGAGCTGTCACATTACTTTCAAGATTTAAAAAGAAACACACAACTTAAATTGCGTATCGTTTCTTCTCAATAATAATAATAATAATAATAATAATAATAATAATAATAATAATAATAATAATTAACTTGCATGTCAGCCAGCATCTTAGGCACTCACGCTATATTCTGGGGTCTTCACGCTATATTCTGGGGTCTTCACGCTATATTCTGGAGTCTTCCCGCTATTCTCTGGGGTCTCCGGTCTCCACGCTACATTATGGAGTGCCACGCCGTATACCATCACGTGACGTATGAGCCCAGCAGGTGACGTTCATTGGTTGGCTGCCTTAACCAATCACCTCTCCCACCAGCTCGGGCCCAAAATATCTACCGGAAATTACGTTCTTAGTCGGAATATTACTGGATATTTACCCTAAAACATTTCCATTAATAATAATAATAATAATAATAATAATAATAATAATAATAATAATAATAATAGTTTACACAATCGTGGTTGAGGATGGCGAGCTATAAAACCACTATGTTGAGACAGCCCAGGAACAACGGACACGTCACCAACACCACAGGCTGAGCTATTATCCCTGAAATTTACTAATCGATATACTGTACATAGAAATTCCTTACAGCCGCTGAGTAAAATAGATTAGGGGAGATAGTCTATTAGGGGAGATAATCTATTAGGGGAGAATATCTATTAGGGGAGATAATCTATTAGGGGAGAATATCTATTAAAGGTGATAATCTTCTTGTGGGGAGAGTCTTCGAATGTGTCTTAATAGATGACTGAGGACAAAATACCACCTGTGTCTTAATGTATCTCTACAGACAACCACTACGAGGAGCTAAGAGGATCTGATTTTACCTGGAGTTGTGAGATCCACGAGGTGATCTGACAGAAACTTTAGAGGGAAAATGAACACTTGGAAACGTGAAAATTAAAAAAAAAACTAATTTAACCAGAAAAAATACTACAGCTATATAATAAATAAAAACATTGATATGGCTGAGTTTAGTGAATACATGAGCCACTAGAGGTTGAAACAGGAAGGGGAGGCCACTTGAGGTGTTAAAAGGAACGGAGGAACATGACCAGTGGAACAGTGTTAGGAGACTACTTGAGATGGAACAGAAATACAAGACTAACAGTGATCAAACAAGAACAGGAGGCCACAAAATCTGGAACAGGCATATGAGGACACTAGATAAGGGAAATAAAAGGAAGGGAAGATGGATGGTACAGTAGTTGTAGTGGGATAGTTAATGACAACTGACCCATTTAGCTCAACATTTTAGACTGGTGTGTGACTGTTGACAGGCGTATGGATGAAGACATTAGACTGGTGGATGACCATAAGCTTTACTCTGTAGGCTCTAGACTGGGGTAGACTGTCGTTAAATGTGGAGTGCATGAATCATGAAGACCTGGAATACACTGAAGAGCCCATGGCATAAACAGGCAAGATCCACGAGAGAAAGATTCCCTCAGTAAGACAACCAGGTAAGGAATCAGCTGAGACTAATGTAGCAATATTGTACTTCTACTCAACACGCCACACAATTCAATACGGTGTCCGGAGTCAGGAAATTTATTGCTAGCGGTTTTTTTTCCCCAGACGTTTAAGGAAGGAAGAATGTCAGTTAAGGGGGACGAGGAAGACCAGAAGCGGATGTGGGTGATAGAAGTTTTTTGGAAGGCCTCCAGACCGCCACCTCGTTACTCTTCTAATATATTCCAGGATTTTTTATTTACTTTTTTTTTTTATAGAAGTGAAAAGCAATAGAGCTGTTCTTTATACCTATTGCCTGTATATTATCTCAGGTCTTAATTTTACTTACATATTTATTGTATGTGTTTAACTTACATACAGTACACATACAGCTGCACATAATTCAACCTCACAATGGCACTATCTATAATCTCTAGAATTGTCTCCCTGAAATTGTATCTGACTCAGCTGGCCGCCTCCCGCCTTGCAATAACAACATTTGCATATCTGACACACCAGAAAATGTCTCGCGTGGTGCGGTAAAGAATCCCCTCGCACAGATATCACGACTCCATAAACCACAGGTAATAATACTTGAGCAGCGGCGGGGAAAGGTACATGTTGTGATATTACCTGTGTCCATAAGTTGTGATGGGCTGACTAATTAAGGGAGGAGAGAAGGCAAGGTACAAGGTATACAGCCATACTCGTTTTAAGTTCTCGTTCTATTTGTGAGTTGAACTTTGAACTATTATTAACTCTCTCTCTCTCTCTCTCTCAAAAGCGTTGGAGTGTTTGACTACAGGTAGATTGTGGAGACCCTGTAGGCGTGAAGGGAAAACAGAATGTACCAATGACGAGAGAGAGAGAGAGAGAGAGAGAGAGAGAGAGAGAGAGAGAGAGAGAGAGAGAGAGAGAGAGAGAGAGAGAGAGAGAGAGAGAGAGAGTCAAGGGCGTCAAGTCGATGCATTTCAATTTAAAGAAGAACAAATTCAGACTTTTTTTTGCATGTAAAATGGCAAGTCTGGGATGAGACTTTTGGCAAGTCCGAAATTGCGCAGGAAATGGCAGAAAGACACATCCTGCACTAGGGAAGGGGAATGGGGGTGTGAGTGGGGTGTGAGTAGGATGTGAGTAGGATGTGAGTGGGCGGATGGTGTGAGACGGGGTGAGAGTAGGGATGAAAGAGCAGTAGGGGAAAGGGGGTGTACACAGCCTCCAAGGGGAAATCATAATAAAACGGTGAAAATTTGATACATTCTTGTGAGACTTTTTATGACTTTCACTGGCACTTTTGAATACAGGTATATTGTCTTCAATTCCACATTTTTAGTTATTTGTGTCAGGTGATGCAGAGGGTAGAGGATGTGTCCTAAGTCTTGGTGGTAAGTGTGAGAGGCGAAAACACATAACTTGGAGAGGTTTATTCTTAGGACAGACACCACAGATTAGATGTTGTTATTACATTATATAACAGTGTTTCACTCTTTTGTCTTCCATAACTTTAACCTCACCTTCCTTAACCTAATATTAGCCTAACTTAACCTAACCTAAGGTACCATAACCAAAGCTAATTTAACGTAACCTAAGCTAACTTAACCTAACCTAAGCTAATACTTAACCTAACCTAAGCAAATTTACCCTAGCCAAAGTAAATTTACCTTAGCCTAAGCTAACTTTAACCATTACACACTAGCTATTACCACCACTACACACTGATATTATCACCACTACACACTGATATTATCACCACTACACACTGATATTATCATCACTACACACTGATATTATCATCACTATAGGCTAGATATTATCACCACTACACACTGATATTATCACCACTACACACTAGCTATTACCACCACTACACACTGATATTATCACCACTACACACTAGCTATTATCACCACTACACACTGATATTACTACACACTACTATCACCACTACACACTGCTATTATCACCACTACACACTGATATTATCACCACTACACACACACTAATATTATCACCACTACACACTGATATTATCACCACTACACACTAGCTATTATCACCACTACACACTGATATTATCACCACTACACACTGATATTATCACCACTACACACTGATATTATCACCACTACACACTAGCTATTATCACCACTACACACTGATATTATCATCACTACACACTGATATTATCATCACTATAGGCTAGATATTATCACCACTACACACTGATATTATCACCACTACACACTGATATTGGCACCACTACACACACTACACTGATATTATCACCACTACACACTGATATTATCACCACTACACACTGATATTATCACCACTACACACTAGCTATTATTATGCACAATTGATATTATCATCACTACACACTGATATTATCACCACTACACACTGATATTATCACCACTACACACCGATATTATCACCACTACACACCGATATTATCACCACTACACAGATATTATCACTACACACCGCACACTGATATTATATTATCACCACTACACACTGATATCATCATCACCACTACACACTGATATTATCACCACTACACACTGATATTATCATCACTATAGGCTAGCTATTATCACCACTACACACTGATATTATCATCACTATAGGCTAAATATTATCACCACTACACACTGATATTATCATCACTATAGGCTAGCTATTATCACCACTACACACTGATATTATCATCACTATAGGCTAAATATTATCACCACTACACACTAGCTATTATCACCACTACACACTGATATTATCACCACTACACACTGATATTATCATCACTATAGGCTAGCTATTATCACCACGACACACTGATATTATCACTATAGGCTAAATATTATCACCACTACACACTAGCTATTATCACCACTATACCCCTAATATTGTCACCACTAAACACTAAATATTGTCACTATACAGTTGATGGTGCATCATCACTATACACAAGATGCTGTCGGCACTAAAACAGAAGCCTCTTACTATATTTATTTAAGGCTTCAGTTTCACGTTCAGGTCCCAACCCATCTACAGTACAGTAGGAAAATTAATTCAAAATGTTCGGCTGTGACTTGGCTCAACACGTTGAAAACCTTTCGGTAGAACTTGATTCTATCGAAAAATACACAAATTATCTAAAAAATATTAAAATTGAAGGATACGGAGTTTCTCTGGGCCTGTCGCCTAAAGTGAACAAACCTCAGATATTGACACGATTAACCGAAATGTCCTCCACGTCGGAGGACAAGAATCTCTGCATAACATGTGAAAAATTATTAAGTTACATCGATAAGCTCCGGATTCCCGAGACTGGGATATTCGTCTTCAGTGCCGAGAAACTTAAGAACCGCAACGTTGGCTACTTCTCCGTCTACTACCCTCCTTTCCCCTTACTGGAAAGCTATGTGCAGTGGGGAGAAAAGTTTGAGGTTGCGGACCTTATTTCCGTGAAGCAGCACGCCAAAGAATGCGAGTCTCACAGACAATCAACCGCCCCACACGAGGAAAACGCTCCTCGGTACGACTATAGTCACCGCTCTGATGACTATAATAGGCGTGAGAGGAACCCTCCTCGGTACGACTATAGTCACCGCTCTGATGACTATAATAGGCGTGAGAGGAACGCTCCTCGGTACGACTATAGTCACCGCTCTGATGACTATAATAGGCGTGAGAGGAACGCTCCTCGGTACGACTATAGTCACCGCTCTGATGACTATAATTGGCGTGAGAGGAACGCTCCTCGGTACGACTATAGTCACCACCATGATGACTATAATAGGCGTGACAGGAACGCTCCTCGGTACGACTATAGTCACCGCTCTAGGGACTATATTAGGTGATACTGCAAACATTTCAGTTTTGTTATTTTGAATAATTAAAAAATAAAAATATTTAAATTATCATTTGTAATTATTTATTCCTAAAAAAGTTGTAATTATTGATGACATAGTGTATTAGCCCCTGTCTAATAAACAGTAATATTTATATAAATGTGGGCTACATATTCGCACATTACTTTTATATAATTACATTACACACGGTAATTAAACTATGAGCAAATGTCTAGTAAATACTGATGCAATTGACGTCTATGTCACGGAACCTCATTGTCTTTCAAATGACCCCTGCGCACCAGTGTCCAGCAGAGGTCAACAAATAACTAACTGGTTACAGGCAGTTGGTCAATGTATCTGACACGTCACTAGTGTCTACTGAAGCTCCCTATAATCGTTTCCCCCTCTCGTAGGTTAACCGTGCATGGTGTAGTTAGAGTTATATCACAGGGTCATCTAACGAGGACTGCACAAGGCACATAGAGGTGGCAGCTTTATACCAACTCATTTAACTCTAAAACCAGCGTTAACTGCTAATGACTCAAAGCAATTGGTCAGCAGTTTTTACTTACAGTATATCTCTAGTTTGCACATTGTGATACTCACAGATACCACTTAAACTTGTACAGCGCTACATTACAACGTAGAAGTAGAAACTGTTCTGTTTTTAAGTGATTTGTTATTTTTCACTTTAGCATCTGGTCCTTAAAGCCGATTTTTCAAAGAAAATAAATTTAAAAACGCCTTAATCTCACTATTTTACAGTGGACACTGTAGTAGTTTGGTCAAATGTGTTAAAATGGGGTTATTTATAATTAAACCAAACCTAACCTTAGCTGATAAGACATACAAGTAGCAGAAGCGTTGTTAGAAGACCACACCAACCTAACCAAAGAAACCTACCTAACCTTACCTAACTTCTAGACCGGACCCCCCAGCTTATTAAACATTGAGCATAGATCGGGCCACTGTACCGTTTTATAGCCCCGAGAGACGAAGTAGTGGATGGTCAGCATGCTCTCCTCGCAAGCGAGCGGACCCAGGTTCGATCCCCAGCCAGGGTGAAACTATGGACAAGTTTCTTTACGCCATTTGCCTCTGTCTACCCAGCAGTAATTGGGAACCTGGTTGTTAATCGATTTGCGGATCGTGTTCCGGGATAAGGGTTAGCCAGTGTACAGTAGTTGGCGAGTTGTCCGGTCTTCTCGGACTATTCCTTGACACTGGGTCATGCAGCTCGTTAACTCAGGGTGTGGTTGCTGTGTTGGTGACAGCTTCTACACCTTAAATAAACTGCAGAAGTGGTCAGAAAAATGGCAAATGAAATTCAACACCAGCAAGTGCAGCGTACTTAATATTGGAAGAACAAATACCGTCAATGTATACAGCCTTAACAACATCAACCTAGAGAAGTCGACTTGTGAAAGAGACTTGGGTGTAATTGTAAGCCCGGACCTAAGGCCTAGAAAACAGTTCGTTAATATTCGAAATAAGGCAAACAGAGTATTAGGTTTTATATCTATTAGTGTAAGTAATAAGAGTGAAGAGGTCTTATTGCAACTATATCTTGTGCTAGTCAGGCCGCACCTCGATTATGCGGTTCAGTTCTGGTGCCCTTATTATAGAATGGATATCAATTCACTGGAATCGGTGCAGCGAAGAATGACGAAAATGATTCCGGGACTTAGAAACCTTCCATTTCAAGTTAGGTTAAAGAAACTAAACTTGCATTCCCCAAAAAGACGAAGAGTGCGAGGAGATATGATAAAAGTATTTAAGTGGGTAAAAGGAATTAAAAAAGAGATATAGATAAAGTTTTTATAATATCCGAGCAGGATAGGACTCGTAGCAACGGACTTAAGTTGGATAAGTTTAGGTTGGAGATAGGAAGGAACTGGTTCACAAATAGGGTAGTAGACGAGTGGAACAAGCTTAGCAACTTTGTAGTAAGTGTTGGAACGCTGGAAAGTTTTAAAAGGAGGCTAGATAGATTCATGGATGATAGAGAGTGGTAGTAACTCTCGACAGGAGCTGCCGTGCACAGGCCAACCGGCCTATTGCAGACTTCTTATTTTCTTAAGTTCTTATGTTCTTAAAGAAATTCACGCCTCGGTGGCCCTTGGGCCAGCCATTCTCGTTACACGAGGGGCAACCATTATTATTAGTGCCGCTACTGTGAGCCTAGGGGCATAATTATCTACCAAACGAAGTATTTACCCAAGAAAGGAATACCTTATCCTAACTCAGCGATGAGTGTGATTTTATCAAGATTTATCTTATCCACGTTTTCATTGTGGATTTACATGAAATATATATATATATATATATATATATATATATATATATATATATATATATATATATATATATATATATATATATATATATATATATATATATATAAGGAACCGTCCAGCTTTCAGGAAAATGAGGGAGTTACTGAACCGTAGGTGTTCCCGTAGAATTGTGTTTACGAAACAAAAGATCGTGAAAAATATTTTACGTAAATCTTATTGCTCATGACATTTTGTGTTGGCATAAAATAAGAGACCATTTATTTTCCGTGATGAAATGTCATACAGTAGACATTTAGGGTATGCAACTAATTTGGACTTCATGACCACAAAAAATATCCTATGTCGGCCTCTGCAAGGTTAAGTTGCATGAAATGGATTCACGAACTGACTAAATGATATGTACAGCTGTCTGTTGCCTGAGTAATGTCGGTGAAGTGCTCACCTGTTCCACCCATGAGTATTAACTAATTTCATTCAACACGACATTTGTAATGAACCTGACGACAATTTATTAATTACTTAGTCGTCTTTCCAGCGGGGGCAGAGCTCGACACCATAGGCATCCCGGCGACAATACTTAATATACTTGTCACACAAACGTCAAGTATAAATATTATGGACCACAAGACAAGGAAACTTATAGCAATGTGAGGAAAATCATTATGCTTTCTGATCGATGGAGGCAAAAAGTTAATAAATTTCCCACTTTAATTGTGTGAGTTTAAGATTTTCGATAAACTTTACACACAGCTTGAGAGGTAAGGTTTATTTAATCTTTATTTATTGTTCTGTAATAATAATGAAAAGCTAATTCAATTACAGCTTTTATTAACGAGTATTTGAATGGTATATATACCGACGAGTACATAGATGGTGACAGGTCTAAATGTCTACCTTCCATTAAGACAGACAGTGTGTTCACTCCATCTCACCAAAGAAAAGGTATATTCTGTTTCAAGAGCACCATAAGGAAACAATGATCCTCCGCAACACTGACACCCCTTCACAACACTGACACCCCTCCACAACACTGACACCCCTCCACAACACTGACATCCCTCCACAACACTGACACCCCTTCACAACACTGACACCCCTCCACAACACTGACATCCCTCCACAACACTTGACACCCCTCCACAACACTGACACCTCCACAACACTGACACCCTCCACAACACTGACACCCCTCCACAACACTGACACCTCCACAACACTGACATCCCTCCACAACACTGACACTGACATCCCTCCACAACACTGACACCTCCACAACACTGACACCCCTCCACAACACTGACATCCTTCACAACACTGACACCCCTCCACAACACTGACATCCCTCCACAACACTGACACCCCTCCACAACACTGATATCCCTCCACAACACTGACACCCCTCCACAACACTGACATCCCTCCACAACACTGACACCTCCACAACCTGACATCCCTCCACAACACTGACATCCCTCCACAACACTGACACCCCTTCACAACACTGACACCCCTCCACAACACTGACATCCCTCCACAACACTGACACCCTCCACAACACTGGACACCCTCCACAACACTGACACCCTCCACAACACTGACATCCCTCCACAACACTGACACCCCTCCACAACACTGACATCCCTCCACAACACTGACATCCTCCACAACACTGACACCTCCACAACACTGACACCCCCTCCACAACACTGACATCCCTCCACAACACTGACACCCTCCACAACACTGACACCTCCACACTGACACCCTCCACAACACTGACACCCCTCCACAACACTGACACCTCACACAACACTGACAACACTGACACCTCCACAACACTGACCTCCACAACACTGACACCTCCACAACACCACCCCCACACTGACATCCCTCCACAACACTGACACCCTCCCACAACACTGACACCTCCACAACACTGACACCCCCTCCACAACACTGACACTCTCCACAACACTGGACCCTCCACAACACTGACACCCCTCCACAACACTGACACCCTCCACAACACTCCCTCCACAACACTGACACCCTCCACAACACTGACACCCCCTCCACAACACTGACATCCCTCCACAACACTGACACCCCTCCACAACACTGACATCACACTGACACTGACCCTCCACAACACTGACCCTCCACAACACTGACACTGACACCTCCACAACACTGACATCCCTCCACAACACTGACACCCCTCCACAACACTGACATCCCTCCACAACACTGACATCCCTCCACAACACTGACACCCCTCCACAACACTGACACCCCTCCACAACACTGACACCCCTCCACAACACTGACATCCCTCCACAACACTGACATCCCTCCACAACACTGACATCCCTCCACAACACTGACACCCCTCCACAACACTGACACCCCTCCACAACACTGACATCCCTCCACAACACTGGCTTCCCGCGGATTAACGCTACTGAATAGAAATAATATGAAGTCGGCAACATCAATATTTGCTTTTTCATGATTTCTAATTCTTATAATGATCATTAATGTTGTAGTGGAATAAAAATTTAAATATCGATACTTCAATCAAGTTTAAATAACTCCTTTAAGAAAATTAACCTCACCCTAACCTAACCAAACCAAACCGTAACCTAACCTAACCTAACCTTATCCAATTCATCCTTAAATAAAGCTATCCTAATTCAAATTTAACTAAACCTCATCTAGTACCCAAATCTAACTTAACAACAAGAATTTATAACAAAATCTCTCCTAAAACGTAACCTCACCCAACTTAACCTAATCGAATTTAACCTATCCTAACCTAACCTAACCTAACCAAACCTAACCTAACCTAACCTAACCTAACCTAACCTAACCTAACCTAACCTAACCTAACCTAACCTAACCTAACCAAACCTAACCTATCCTATCCTCACCTATCCTAATCTAACCAAACCTATTCCAAACTTAACCTAAACTACAAAAAAATCAAGCAGTGAAAATAACGAAAAAATCTAAAGCCGAAATGCAAACAATAAATAAATATAAAAAGCAACAATACAACACCAGCTTTATTTAAAGTCTTAAATCCCCCACAAAAAAAAATCAATGTTCAGCAGCACCAGCAGTAAAGGCAAGACCTTTGGTTCAAGGTGAGTGTTGACATTCCCCAGGTAAGGTGACTAACATCATAATTGGTATGGTGCAGCTCGTGGCGTCCTCCTGTTAAACCTGGCACAGAGTCAGGCTTTTCTGTGACTACCAATAAAATATCTAAACCCGAGGTAGTTATGTTTTTACGTGGGGAGGGAGGGAGGGAGGAGGAAAATAACATGATGAGGAAAATGGAAAAGAGGAGATGATGATGATGATGATTGATGATAATGATGATGGTGATGATGATGATGATGATGATGATGATGATGATGATGATGAGGAGGAGGAGGAGGAGGAGGAAGAGGAGGAGGGGGTACACAGAGGAGAAGGAGGAGGAGAAAAATAAGAAACAGGGAAGAGGAGGTGGAGGAGAACAAAATAAGAAACAAGGGAGTAAAGAATGAGGAGGAGGGGAAGGAGGAGAAGGAAGAGGAGGAAAAGGCCACTACCCAGCACCGTAAGAAGCCGTCTAAGATCATCTTCCCCAGAGTGTAGTGAGGCCGGGGGCGAGGGCTTGAACACACCCAGAGAAGCCCCACCATCGTCAACCTTCCGCGCGTACACACATACACACACGTACGTTTTTAGTGCGCAGTCTTCTTTGTGTGTGTGTGTGTGTGTGTGTGTGTGTGTACGTCACATCTCTAGTAGTGGCAGAGTTAAGGATGTTTCTTTTCACTTGTTGTAGTCTGAAAGAAAACTGCGCCCGTCCGCAAGTCCGTGACGTGAGAGTCCGTCCAGGAGATGTGAAGAAGATATCTCGAATAAAAAGCACCTGATGATTAAACACCCTAAATTACCTGGAGAGGAGAGGAGAGGAGAGGTTAGGTTAGGTTAGGTTAGGTTAGGTTAGGTACCTCGACTATTACAAGAAGTTCCGTTGACAACCTACAATAATATATATTTTTTATTGCCGTAATATTAGTTTCACGCACAAGAATATTTGTTTGTGAAATATAAATATTTATTAACAACACGTGAGGGTGGATATTGATCTGATTATTTAAAGATTAAATTCCCCCACACAGAACACACACACACACACACACACACACACACAGACACACACACACACAGACATATATATATATATATATATATATATATATATATATATATATATATATATATATATATATATATATATATATAAGAGAGAGAGAGAGAGAACATGAAATAGTTAGATGGACGAGAGATAAATAAAACCAGTTTATGAATGTTTAATGGTATTATACACAGGTAGTTAAACTGCAGGTGGCTGCGATGAGAGAGTTAAAAATTGTGAGCTGCCAGTTGTCTGTTTTACCAGCTGCTACCAGTACTACCCGGGCCCTGGAGTTCTCTAGTGCCCTACCCTCACCTAGTCTAATCTAAACTAACCTAACCTAACCTCACCTGGCCTAACCTCACCTGACCTAACCTAACCATTCTCTAACCATAACCTATTTTTGTAGTGAATGGATCTCCTACACAGGACTACAGACATATGGCTTGTCACAACATAAGGAAACATACATACTATGATCAGTGACTCCCCCTGTAGCAGGAGATCCCTAACAGTGGAACAATACCGCTGTAAGAGTATTAGAGGTGGGACAGTTACACAGTTTGCAGGAAGACAAGTATGGGACAGTACCCGCCTTTACTCTCGGCCTTGAGACCTGGACAGTATCACACACACACACACACACACACACACACACAGCTACAACTTGATGGACGGCAACAATCAACAGTGCCTGACGTAAAGACACACTTAGGGGAAACTTACGCTAGAGAGAAATAATTAGTGAACATTCACCCGAAAACTTATTTGAAGAAGCAGAAGCCGAGCGAACACTCGTCCGGCGAAGTTTCCATAAGAGCGTCTTTAAGAGGTTGACGCCTGGCGCTCTTGGTTGCTATTACCTACCAGTTTCAGTTGAATTTAACTTATTGCTTAGCTACTGTTTAATAATTTGGATACAGTATTTCATATCTGTAAAACATGCTTGTAAGATACTACTGTTAACGGGACCAAAAGTTAAAAAAAAAATCTTCAAACAATAATTAAGCAAAAGTTTATAAAATGAATACTAACATTTCTTCTTGCCCAGGAGACCCGGATATAACAACTTGTGCAGAATTCAGAGCCTTCGACCACCAGGCCAAGTAGGTCACTGTACACTTGCGCTATGACCTCCAGCGTGAAATACAAAATATAATATAAAAATCGTGAGGTTAGGTTAGGTTAGGTTAGGTTAGGTTAGTCACGCTGGTTGATATCTGCCGTCATAAAAAACTTATTGCGTACACACACACACACACACACACACACACACACACACACACACACACACACACACCAATATACATTTTTCTAACAATATAAATAATCTTAAATTCTACTACAAAACCTATCAATTTCGAGGTATATAATCTTACCTGTATAACTATAAAAATTAATTAAGAAAGTATGGAGGTGCATTACGGAACACAATGAACAAAAGAAATAAATTGTTTTTATTATTGAGAATTGAGTTACTACCTCATCTACCGTAAAAGTCATCTGGTTATTCTCTTAACACTTGTCTGCTACTGAAATTATACGGCTTAGTGCTCAACCGACAAGTTAAACAAGGAAGCGAGGTAGGTAAGATGACTGGTGAGGCTTCCTGCTGCTGCGCCACACACACACACACACACACACACACACACACACACCAGTTAATAGAGTTATGTGTTCTACTCTGTCATTACATTAAGACTTTCAATCGTAGAAAATATATTGTAGTAGTCGAGTCTTCCCTTCTCTTCCTCCACCCTCTTCTTCCTCCACCCTCCTCTTCCTCCACCCTCTTCTTCCTCCACCCTCTTCTTCTTCCACCCTCCTCTTCCTCTTTTCCACTGTATAACCTCTCCAGCCTGCGTTACTAGTGTTATCTTATCAACATTACTGACATGTTATCTCATCTTTCTAGCCGTTACTGTTAGCGTTACAGACCTGCGTTACTAGTGCTGAAGTGACGGCGTGACGAACACTACACTCCTTTGTTGAAAAGATAAAACTGTGTTATTACCAGGTAAGAGTTAGTTGGAGAGGAGGAAAAAAAAGAAGAGGATGGATCAAAGAGAGATTTATGAATCTAGTCACATCCCCCCATGACACACTTCCCCCCCCCTCCTCCCTTCCTCCAATCACCCGCCTCACCTCATACGCATGGGAGGCGGCAACTAACTAGATTTGCGACACAATGTGATTTTTTACTCTATAACTGATCAAGATTGGTGCGTTATTGGGGCCCAATCACCATCCATGTAGGCTTCGAGGAACCAATCAGTATCCAAGTGGGTTGCGGGGGGAGGGGCAATCACCATCCAGGGAGGCTACGGGAGTCCTATCAGTATTCGGGTGGGTTATGAGGCCAAATAAGCATCCAGTTGAGTAAAAGGAAAACCAATCGACATCCAGAAAACGTAAAGGATAAACCAATCAGCATACAGAAGAATTACGGGTAACCAATCAACATCCTTGGTGGGGTATGAGGGACCCAATGATCATCCAGGTGGGTCAAAGGAAAACCAATGAACATCAGGAGAGACACGAGGCACTACAGTTAACCTATATAACACTGATACAACGCAACACATCAACTATGACCAGTGTGAACATTAAGTCAGTCCATGCAGCAGGCGTTACACTGCCGCAATATTTACTTACCGAGACAATTAGATGCACACCACCACCACCTAAGGCGATCCTGTCTGGCCTGGATAATAATAATTTTATTGCTCATAAATTCATCACAATGCGGGATAGAAATAAAATTGAACAATATAAACCTTCGCTCATTTATGTAACTAATGATTAAATAACAGTTTATGGGCCTCTTTAGCTTCACCTGTTATATATTACCTGGTGACAATCCTCTTACCTGTACTAAATTATGTGATGGTGTTTGTGTCACTAGACCGATTTTTTATCTTAACTTCTCTCTCTCTCTCTCTCTCTCTCTCTCTCTCTCTCTCTCTCTCTCTCTCTTCACACGGGTCATCATCTCCCACACTATCTTCCTCGTTTACCCTTTCTAAGATTTCCTCTACGTCCCCCTTCCCTTCTTTTCCATTCCTTACTCCTTAATTCTCCTCTTCTTCCACTTACTATTCACCATCCCTCCCCTATCCTATTCCCTCCTCTCAATTCCTATCTCCTGACCCTCCCTTTACCCCTCTTTCCCTTCCCATCATTTATTCCCGTTTCTCCTCTTCATCTTCTCTCCCCTCCCCTAAACTGATAATGTTACTTCCATTCCTCTCTCATTTTCTACCTTCTCTCCCTCTCCTCCTTCTACCCTACTCCCCTCCTTTCCTTTACCTTTACTCCCCTATTCCACCTGAAATTTCTTTACTCCTCTCTCCTTTCCTCCTCTCCCCCCCTTTCCTTCCATCCCTCCTCCCCCTAATTCCTCCCTCTCTTTCTTTCCCTTCTTCCCTATTTCTCCTCCTTCCCTATCTAATTCCTTCCCCTTCACACACCCTCATCCAATAACCCCATCCTCAATCTTCAACTCCTCTTCCCTGTTTGTTCATTTGTAATAAACTTTGGAAGGTCGATATTTTTGGACCTTATGCCTCTCTCTCTCTCTCTCTCTCTCTCTCTCTCTCTCTCTCAAACGAAATTACATCTTACAACAGATTGGGTTAAATATAAACTGATAAAACAAAGGCGACTTTATATATATTAAGTTTACCTAAATTACAGCACAACAGAGGCATTTAAAACGTCTGAAAATAACAAATACTATGAAGTACATCGATTAATTTTTGTTTCCCTAAAGAACTTAACCAAATTCTTGAAGAGTTCCCAAGGTTATGAATTTCTTGTCAATCTTTGAAATAAAAAAATAAAAAATCGTCTGGGTGGGTCACTGATGGAGTCAGTAAAAACTACACAATTACGTGAATAAAACCAAACGATTTCAGGTTACAAAAGGCTTTCATGCTGACCCGACAGCCGTCCCAGATGGGTGACTCAGCAGACGACTGGTTCAGTTCACTTTCTGGGCCAAAGTTTTCATTCATCTAAAAACACAAAACACATAATAATAATAATAATACACACACATTAATAATAATATTACACACACACACACATGTATTAATATTACATTGTTAATATTAATATCATCAATATATTAACTAGATGTTATATTACGTCTAAAAACATGTCAGTATTCATCACTAAGAGTCACTGTAGTTTGTTTTGTTTGCAATTAATTCACATATAATATACCACGACCCTGAGGAGACCTGTACAGTATGTATGGTAGTTAAGGCCACACTAGAGAACACCCCTTGTAATAATATTCTTTGGGCCTTCAACCTAAATCTTAATTAAAACCATTAAATGTAATCCATGACTCAACCAGTGGTCAACAGTTGTATTTAATTACAGTAATTAATGAGGGTGCGGGGACAGATACATTAAAACATTACTGATTTATACACACAACAGCCCCCGCGTTAAGAGCGACCTTTCACAATACACAAAACAAACTAGATGTTCTGACTAACTTCCAAAACATGAAGTAACATACAGAAACAAAGTCGACGAAACGGTGAGAAGAAATTACAGAACAAAATCTACGTTGTAAATACTGTTTTTTGGGGTTTTTTTACACCTGCTTCGAACTAACCGAGTCTTCTAGTGTAAATCTGAGACACGATACCAGCTGTTTCATCTCTTAAGTGGGTGATTGGTATGAGAGATCACTTACGTCGTTACCAATAGAAAATAGTTAAATATGTTACACAATGAAGAGCTTTAACACATTGTCTTGTGTGAGTGAGAAGATGGTATAACACTGAGCTGATTACGTTTGTTCTGTGAGAGAAAACGGAGAACACGCCAGCTGGTCTGATGAGGAGAAAACAGGAACAATCAGGTGGTAACTCGTGCCAAGGTGAGAGTAAGATCATTCAATCAGTCGCCAAGGTCACCAGCTACACCTGTACAACACACTCCAGCCAGGTAAATTGAGGGCGCGGTGATCCAATCAAGCGGGGAGAGGTTGAGGCAGGGCAGTGCATTAGTGGGGAGTGGCAGCTAATAATCGTTATCTCCACCAACACCTCCCCGCACCACCGCCTCCACTACTACCCCCTATCACCATCCCCACCACACACTATCACCATCCCCACCACACACTATCACCTCCCCACCATCCCCCATTACCGACACCTCCCACCATCCCCCATCACCTGTCACTTCCCCATCACGAGAGAGAGAGAGAGAGAGAGAGAGAGAGAGAGAGAGAGAGAGAGAGAGAATAGTAGGCTAAAGGAAGTTACCTCTTAGACCACTTATCCCCTCCTCCTCCTCCTCCTCCTCCTCCTCCCTCCTCCACTACCTCTGCCTTCATTGTCCTAATCCACTTTTATCCCCTTTTTCTGTCATTGTCTATTTCATTTTACCTGTCTCTCTCTCTCTCTCTCTCTCTCTCTCTCTCTCTCTCTCTCTCTCTCTCTCTCTCTCTCTCTCTCTCTCAACACTTTTAATGACCCAATTTATTCTCCTCATTCTTTTACCACTTAACCCACTTATTACCGCCACTTAACCTACATTACTGTCACCACTTAACCCACTTAATACCGCCACTCAACCTACATTACTGTCACCACTTAACCCACTTAATACCGCCACTCAACCTACATGACTACCACCACCACTTAACGCACTTAATTTCACCACTTTTGTCTCCTTGTAAATCTACTTTATCACACTTATTTTTATCTACCACTTATACGTATAGGGAAGAGGGATATTGTGGTGTAAATAAGAGAGAAAGAAGAAGGAGGATAAGTAATAAGTGACAATAAAAGTAGGAAGAAGTAAAAAATGGAGGGAGCGCCTACTACTAAGTGGAATTAGAGGAGGTGATAAAGTAGCCTTGTTAAGTAAGTCTTAATTATTTTTTCCACTTTATAAAACACTATTCTTGTACAAATTACCTCCTCCTGTTTTCCTCGTAAATTTACCATTTTTTGGTTTGTACTCTTTCATATATACCTATTTAATCATCTTTCTCTCTTCATTATACACCTACTTTATCTTCTTCCTCCTCCTCCTCCTCCTTCTTCTTCTCCTACTTCCCTCCTCACCAGTTAGAGACTCCTCCCCGCCCCCCCACCTCCTCTTCTTCCCGTCCCTCCCACTTCTGTCCTTCCTTCGCCTCTCCTCTCCTTCCATCCCTTCGTCTTCCCTTCATTTTTCTCGTTTCTCCTTCCCTCCTCTTCCATTCGCCCCCTCTGTTCTCTCCTCCTTTATTATTATTATTTTCCTATACCCACCATTAACTTCCTCCCTCTCTACACCCTAAGTTTATTATGCCTCGTTATGTCTCCCATCTTCTTGTCCTCTTACCCTCATTAACTATCTTCTATTATCTTTATTATTCTCTTTTCTGTGAGGTTTGTTTATCATGCATTTTCCTATCCCTCCTTCCGTCTCCTTCGCATTTTTTATTCCTTCCTTTCTCTTTCCCCCTTTTTACTGTCACCCTTTAGTCCATCTTTCTCTATACCTTATGTTTATTATGTTGTTTCGTTTATCACTCCTTTTATAATCACCATTACGGTTTTATTTGATTGGTCTTCTTCCATATTCCATCTTTATTGCGTCCTTTCCTTTTTTATCATCCTATTAAGCCCATTTATTAGTCTCTCTCTCTCTCTCTCTCTCTCTCTCTCTCTCTCTCTTTCTCTCACGCTTTATCTCTCACTCCCTGTCTCTCTTGCATTACTTCTTCTCTCTCCTTTACAATATATTCACAAGGTCATTATTTTATGTATTCTCTCTCTCTTTCTCTCACGCTTTATCTCTCACTCCCTGTCTCTCTTGCATTACTTCTTCTCTCTCCTTTATACACTCACTTTATCAAAAACCATTGTCCCTGTTTTACGTTTCATCTTTATTATGTCATTTAGTTTCTCCTCCGTTCTCCGAAAACACCTTGACGTCTACCCTTACCACCACCTTCACCACCACCACCACTTTCACCATCATCATCAACTTCACAACACCACCACCTCCTTCACCATCATCATCAACTTCACAACACCACCACCAACACCACCATCACCACCACTTTCACCACCACCCTTACCACCAACTTCACCATCATCATCATCATCAATTTCACAACACCACCACCTCCTTCACCATCACTTTCACCATCATCATCACCTTAAACACCACCACCAACACCACCATCACCACCATCACCACCACAAACTTCACCACACCACCACCACCTCTTTCACCACCACCAAACATCGCCACTGCACACAATTTCCATTTACGTGGCTTCCTCTCCTTGGCTCCCTGATTGTGTCTCCCACACCTCTCACAGCATCTCCCTCACCTCCCCCCACACCTCTCACAGCATCTCCCTCACCTCCCCCCACACCTCTCACAGCATCTCCCACACCTCTCACAGCATCTCCCACACTCCCTCCCACAGCAACCCCCACCGACGTGTTTTGAGAGATGTGGCACCACCGCCCACCAGACAACAGCCAATGACGTTCTACTTGGTAATCTTTCTCTAAACTATAACCATGCAGAAAATATCCACAGCACATACAGATAAGAGGAAGAGAACTGCTTATTTAACACCCTTGGTTTGGTTACTAGAGCGAGAGTAGTTTTGTCCATTAGATTAACTCCGATGTATACAAACAGTGGTGCCACATCTCACAAAACGCGCCAGATACTGTACCTGTTGTAAATGGAGTCAACTGTACCTATTGACTGAGGTTATGGCGTGTGTTTGTTTATTTGTGCGATTGTTTTTAGGATTGTAGGAGTTTTGGTTATTTTCTGTCTGGTTATTGTAGGATTGTGTGAATGTGATCTTTTGTGTGGTATTATCTCTCTCTCTCTCTCTCTCTCTCTCTCTCTCTCTCTCTCTGACGGTAATACAATTATCTCGTCCCTACACCATTAGTTTTACCAAGAGATGACCAGTGTGTCTCAAGCCTCGCACCAGAACCCCGTGTGTCTCAAGCCTCGCACCAGAACCCCGTGTGTCTCAAGCGTTGCACCAGAACCCCGTGTGTCTCAAGCCTCACACCAGAACCCCGTGTGTCTCAAGCCTTGCAACAGAACCCCGTCTGTCTCAAGTCTTGCACCAGAACCCCGTGTGTCTCAAGCCTCGCACCAGAACCCAGTGTGTCTCAAGTCTTGCACCAGAATCCCGTGTGTCTCAAGCCTCACACCAGAACCCCGTGTGTCTCAAGCCTCGCAACCAGAACCCCGTGTGTCTCAGGCCTCCTTGGAACCCCGTGTGTCTCAAGCCTCGCACCAGAACCCAGTGTGTCTCAAGTCTTGCACCAGAATCCCGTGTGTCTCAAGCCTCACACCAGAACCCCGTGTGTCTCAAGCCTCGCACCAGAACCCCGTGTGTCTCAAGCCTCGCACCAGAACCCAATGTGTCTCAAGCCTCGCACCAGAACCCCGTGTGTCTCAAGCCTCACACCAGAACCCCGTGTGTCTCAAGCCTCGCGAGATATCAATGCCCCTTAAATGGAATGAGAAAACACATCTAATCACAGTAAAATCAACGTGTAATCTTGACGCCATTTTGACCTTCATCTTTATATCGATTCTTATGACCACCAATTTAAATGTTTTTGCTTTCCTTACAATCTCTTTCCATCTCTCTTTACCATTTATCTTTCTTTTATCATCTTTCTCTTTATCTATCTTACATTCTTTATCTATCTCTCTCTCTCTCTCTCTCACAATCTCCAGTTACTACTAAAGATTACGAGATGAGTTTCTGAGAACGAAGGGTCCAGTCTGGCAATGGTCTCTCCTGCCGTCTTAAGTGACCGAGATTGTGAAAGTTTTATAGAAAGATTATTATTAGTTGGCAACTTTTAATTACTGTGGGACGTTTATGGATGGTGAGTGTGACGACAGAAGAAGAATTCCCACCACCACAGTACTGATAACGTGTTAGGTAACGCTTTTCATTGTTAAACTCATGATAACGTCTTAGGTAACGTTTTTCATTGTTAAACTCCTAATAACGTCTGAGGTAACGCTTTTCATCGTTAAACTCCTAATAACGTCTGAGGTAACGCTTTTCATTGTTAAACTCCTGATAAGCGAAGTAACGTTTTTCATTGTTAAACTTTTGATAACGTCCTAGGTATCGTTTTCCCACAAGATGACCTGACCTGACCTGACGTACCCAAGTTTACTCATCTCTATCATGGCGTCGTCAATGTTACAATGTTTTGAAATGTTTATGAGAATTTGTATTATTTCAGATGGTGTTAATATGTATTTGTGTACCGAGGATATGGTTGTGTGTCTGTGTGAGTTATTATTATTTATTATTATTATTATTATTATTATTATTATTATTATTATTATTATTATTATTATTATTATTCGCCTTCTTCCTTCTAAATTAGCAAGCCCTTCGTTTACATATCTGTTCGTAATAAAGTGTCAGCATTCAAAAAATCTAAGCTCATGTAATCTTTTTATGTAATAATTTAAAGTAATCTGTCAAACTTTACAGTACATAAATGTAATTAACTCTATGATGGTAATCTTCTACTATTTGCGAAGAATTTTACGATCCATATTCTAACTTCCTTTTGTACCTAATTTTTTTTTTCCCATTCCATATGCATCAACCTTCAATAGCTAATTTTCCCAACAGATCTATGTCAAAGGTCACACACACACACGTAGGTCATTAACAGGTGAGTCACAACCAAACAACGTGTGGGATCATCTTCACTGTAGTTTATGTCACCTGTATAACATCCTGCTGGGTAACATTATGTAGTCCTGACTCAGTGTTGATGTTTATGTCTCTTGTCTTGTGTTTTGCGTCAGCCCATAACAGTGTCCTAGCTGGCGGGAGAAAATTTACGTTATCGCACAAGAATAAATTGATACTCTCTCTCTTTCTCGACCTCTCTCTCTAGCGTGGGTTCGCCGTGTCCCTGGGGAGCAGTCGCAGGTGGGGCGCCTAGCAGACTGCGGCACGACCCCCCCTCCCCCCCCCCCAGTTTTCCCCTCTGTCCACACCAGCCACGCCCACCCATAATACGCTCACCCCAGCCACGCCTACCCATAATACGCTCACCCCTGCCACTCCTACCGCTGCCACGCCTATCTTAGCCACGCCCAACCCTACCATGTCTAACCTGACCAACGCCCACCTACAATCTGGCATGAATAAAACAAACTCCTGAAGACTTCTAGCCAACCCTAACCATGAACTTTTAGACGATGCCAATTGGAGAGAGAGAGAGAGAGAGAGAGAGAGGAAAATTGAATTCCAAGGTAACTTTACGAAGGACCTGGTATAATGTTACACTACAGTATTCGTTTACACAGGTACTATACTCTCTCCCTTTCTCACCCCTCTCCCTCCCTCCCTCCCTCCCTCCCTCTCCTTTCCTCCTTCCCTCCCTTATCCCTCGCCCTCCGATCTCTCACCTCCCTTCCTCCCCAATCCCTCGCTATCTTCCCTACCCATTCTATCACCCCCTCCCCCCAACCACCCTCCATCCCTCATCCCCACCATCCCTCCCTCATCCCTCTCCCTCAAACACCCTCACCCTCCCTCCCTCATCCCCCACCCTCCCTCCCTCCCTCATTCCAGCACGACCACGGCTGTATGTCTATACCGACCCTGGACTGTAACTACGGGAATTACCAGTTATTAAAAGTCCTCTTAGATTCTTCTATTGTTATTGGTTGGTATATATCATGTTTACGACTCCCGGACACACAGACGCGGAACACAGACGGGGGGAGACGGGGAACACAGACGGGGGGAGACGGGGAACGCAGACGGGGGCAGACAGGGAATACAGACGGGAGACAGATGGGAAAAACACACAGGGAATTCAGAGGGGGAACACAGACAGACAGACAGAGAGACAGATGGATGGATGGTATTCCTTCCTCAAAGTATATAAAACTTACTATCCTGACGTTATATTTCTTTTTTTTCTTTTTTTTTTTAGAGCTGACGTGGGACAAAAATATTGGACGGGAAAGTTTGGACAGAAAATATACATTCTGTTTGTATAATGGTGGAAGAGAACGAAAAAAAAGAAAACCCCGGAAATTGAATAAATATGAGGGAATATCAAAATAAACAGTTGTCAAGTAGAATAATGAGGAGAAAAATATATAGTAGGCACTCCATGTTTCAGCCTTTCTTTCCGTCCGTCTTTCCGTCCGTGTTTCCGTCCGTGTTTCCGTCCGTATTCCCGTCCAACAACGTAAAAATACGGTAAAGTTAAATGTTATCCTGAAGACAGTTATACTTACAATCCTTCCTTCTTCCATCCTTCCGTCTACTTTTTTCCGTCTATCCTTCCGTCCAAGTCAAGGTAAAATAAATAAAAATAAAAGGAAAATATCAATAAAAATTCATCGACGTACAAGATGGTGAATTTTATGGACCCTGAAAAAGCTTCCATATATAGTACAGGGTGATACTCTCTCTCTCTCTCTCTCTCTCTCTCTCTCTCTCTCTCTCTCTCTCTCTGTTTATTTTTAGACCTTACGATACTCTACACTTTTTTTTTTTACATGATGGTTTTATTGTCTCGTAAATGTCACGTCTGAGGCTGTCCTGGGAAAAAAAATATGTGTATTTTTGTATTTCTCAACTGTTGGGCCAGCGGAAAGTTAATATAGGAAGTGTGTGTGTGTGTGTGTGTGTGTGTGTGTGTGTGTGTGTGTGTGTGTGTGTGTGTGTGTGTGTGTGTGTGTGAGCACGAAAACAATACTAAAACAAAGACGAAATCAAAGTGATATTCACAACTCGGTTGATAAAATGATCAGTGAATAATGTTGCCATATCATCATCATCCACTAGTCTTCTCTTATTTAAACTGTTACCTGATTGATATTTCTCGTCTCTGTTATCATCTGAGGTTGCTTTCTTAAGTCACTAGTTCACCGACAAACTATAACACTCAGTTGTCATTCAATTGGAGATATCACCTGATACATACACGTTCTTAATGGAAACAAACAACTCCTTGAAGAGCAAACACCCAACTGAAAAATAATAAAACAGCATTAAATAATATAAACAATATGTAAAGAGAAACTCCGAAGGCAAACTCCCAGAGTAACAACACCATAAGCTGGAGAAATTTAGCATAATCGAGGAATTACTGTCGGTTAGAGATGTCCGGCCACTGGATTGTGAGGATGTGAACTGAGCTCCGTGTGTGTGTGTGTGTGTGTGTGTGTGTACGAGGTTATTTTAAATACAATTGTGCTTTGTAGTGTTTAAGTCGATGCTTCTTCCCATGCATACAAAGCCAGTGATTTTATTGTTTATAAGTACAAATTACTACGTTAAGTTATCATTGTTACTTGTAGTGTTATTTCTAAGTAAAGGATTTCAATTTCAGTAACAATGACGGAGGTATTCCCGCTGGACGTCCAAAAAGCACAGCATCAAATGAAAACCTCGAACCATTGTTTCATTGTTCTCCCGTTCCCAAGGCGAATACACAAAGCGTGTATACCAACTCCACTACAATACACTAACTTATACAACTTTTCTACACTAAACTACACAACAATATACAGCACAAATATATACTACATTACACTACACAAAACCACACTACACTAAATATCATTCGCTGTGTGATTTAGTGTCAAGGAATGTACCAGAATGATCGGAAAATACACCAACTGCACTGGCTAACCTGCAGTAACCCGCCCACAACACAATCCCCAATAGTTTAATCCATTTTCCCCAATTGAACTACTGTTGGGTAGACAGAGGCAAATGGCGTAAAGAAAATGCCTATAGCTTCACCCTTCCTGGACCCACATCTCCACAGTAAACTTAAACATTAAGTAACATTAAGTATCTAGAAACAACCGTCGGGATCAAATGTGGAAATATGACGTCACAATTATAAACAAACCGTTCAAGTGACGTCAGGACCTATTAACCATGACCCAGCAAAGGTCACACGATATGACCTACTGTAGTTTATATTGGATTAACTTAGCTTGACTCGATGTGTCGTGGGTCAGAGCCAAGCCTGGTACACAAGGACCGCACCATTAAAACAGCGCCACTAATTAACTCCACTAAAGTATCTCGCTGGAATTTTTATTTATGTCAATTAACAGAGAATCAGACATGGTTGCAGCAATAGTACAGTCATATTACTAACACTGCTTTACACACACACACGAACCCGTACCTGCTGGACCGCCAACTCAACAGCGATAACCAAATGACGTTGATAGAGCCAACCAACTTCAGTCAACACACAGGGTCAAAAATCCTGGATGAGTGAGGAGAGAGAGAGAGAGAGGAAACAATGAGGAAGTGGAGACGATGGTAGAGACCTGAGCTGGTAAGTTGTTGTGGTGTTAAGAGAAGGACTCTGTATGGGTCGCTATGTGCACGGTCAAGTCTGAGGAGTGTGACGCAGCAGCAGTAATGAGAATAACACTGCCTTGCCTTCACTAAAACGAGAGACGGTCCTACAACACACACACACACTCTCTCTCTCTCTCTCTCTCT